TTTCTGTTGAAGACTGCTCCATGCCATTATCTTGGGATTCTTCTTCTTCCTGTGTGCCTATGATTTGTAAGTTTGGTCTTTCTATGGTGTCACACAATTTCTGCATATTCTGTTCTTGTGATTTCTTAAATTTTTCATAATCTTTGCTTGAGTGGTCTAGTTCATCCATTTTATCTTCCAGTCTTGATACTCTATTTTCCATTTCATTCATCCTAGTGGTGAGGCTTTCTCCTGTTGTTTCTAATTGGCTTACTGAGTGTTTCACTTCCTTCTTCATTTCAGCCAGAATAGTCTTCAATATTTCTATCTCTTTTCTTAATTCATTCATAAGTTTATTCCTATCTTTCTTCAGTTCTTTGATTTTTTTTGTTTTTGTGGTCTTTAAATTCACTGAATTCTTTTATCATGTTTATAATTGTTGTTTTCAGTTCTTTGTCCTGCATTATCTCTAGGGGGTTCTCATTGTACTCCTCCAGAGGACTATTGGTATTTGGTGGGAATATGTTATTTTGTTTTTTCATGTTATTATTTTTTCTCTGTGATTTTGACATGTGAATTTATTTTGTAGTTTCTGATTCTTGTGTGAGACTCAAGCCTTTATGTTTAGTAGGTCTGCTTCTTTTTGTAAACTTTATGTGTCTTTGTGTTTACTTTTTGGTCATAAAAAGCTGGTTCTTCTAAGCTTCCAGTTCTCTCTTTTGATTTTATATTGGAGTGGCCAGATATGCTTTTGTCTTCAGGAGCTCCCACACAGGCCCAAGTCAGAGGAGGATCAGATGCTCTCAGGCTTTCTCCTAAGATCTGGATCCCTCCAGGAAAGATTTTGACCTCAGGAATTTGGCAGTTGGACTGGCCTGGGAGCAGGTCCCAGGAAAGTTGCTGATCTAGGGCAGCTGGTGGCGGTGCCACCCAGAGATGGAAAGGGAGATGAGGGTGCGAAGAGGCCCCAAGGGCTCCTGGTGACTGCACTAAAGAACTGGGTTGGTCCTGGAGAGAGGCCTTGTGGGTCAGAGAGAGTCCTGCGTGTCATGCAGGCCCAGGGAATCAGAGAAAACTTGTTGATTTTTATCACTTGACTTTTCTTCCTATAATCCTGGACTGTCATATGTTCTCTATTCAGATCTAATAATTGAGGAGCAGGTTAAGATTGCACAGCCAGGCCTGGGGGGTGCACGCCTTTAACCCCAGCACTTGAGAGGCAGAAGCAGGCAGATCTCTGTGAGATTGAAGTTAGCCTGGTCTCCATAGTGACTATAAGGGCACTCTATCTCAAAAAAACCAAAAAGGAAAGATTGTAGCTGATAGATCCAGACTACTGGAAGTAGTTGCAAAAAGCTACATTGAGTGGAAATCAAGAAGAAGAAAAAAAACCTTCCTAAACAACCTCAAGAACTATCTTTAATGGTCAATTGTTTTAGATACAGAAGATTATATTTACCAAGTTTAAAAAAGAGCCCTTATTTTCTTCTATCACACAAATTTTCCAGTGAAATATATGCTCACTTTGAGTGAATCAATAACAGGGCCCATTGTTGCATCATTTCAATACCTCGCCAGGCTCTTTAGTACTCAAGAATCTCTGGGAATCAGCTATTAGCAGAAGAAAGTTGTTATTTGAAATCTCTAAAACAAGTTCATTGTTAAAAAAATTTTATTACACCTATTTTGTATGTGTGCATGTGTGGGTACGCACTTAGTTGGATGTCAAAAGCCAACTTGAAGGAGTTGGTCCTCTCTTTCCATCATGTAGGTTCTAGGGATCAAATTCAGGTTATCGGGCTTGGCACCAGGCACCTTTACTCACTGAGCCATCTTACCAGCCCATTCATGGGGCATGAGCAGTGAAATTATTATTTGAGACAGGATCTTATGTAGTGTAGACTGGCCTCCAACTCCTTACATAGCTGAGGACGAACTTGATCTCCTGATCCTCCTACCTCTACCTGCCAAGTGCTGGGATTATAGGGCCCTTCCAGCGTGATTTATGAAATTATAATCTGGACTAATAGCCTATTTCTCTAATTTTAAATTTTAATTTTTTATGCTGATTTTCTGAGCTTGGAGTTTAATGTGCCTAATAAAAACCATGGCACTAAGAAAGATTTTGAGATGTATTCAAGGTAAACAGGAAGAATTGGGACTTTTTTTTATAGCTTTATAAATTGGGTTACTGGGAAAAAAATGGGACTTTGTATGAAAGTGGGTATATGATTAGGCCTCTTCCTAAGTGAGACAGCAGTATGGGAGTTGGTCCATTTCCCCAGGAACTCAGTACTGAGCATCTACTATGATGAACAGTCTTCTCCTAGGCATTTGATAATGAATAAAACAGACAAAAATCTACGCCCTTCTGCAGTTAAAAAAAAGTTGTTTAGGCTTGATTTAATTAAAAAGCAGAACCAATTTTTGTTTTTATTATTATAGTATGTGTGCATGATGTGTGTCATGACTCACATGTAGTGGTCAGAGGACAACTGTAGAGCTGGATTTTTCCTTCCACGTTTACATCTGTTCCTGGGATTGAACTCTGGTCAGTCGCTAGGCTTGCTTGGCAAGTGTCTGTACTACCTGAGGCATCCTGCCAGCCCTCGATTGTATTTTTTGGGGGGGGGGTGTTTTCTTGAGACAGGGTCTCCCCGTACCTCCAACTGTCCTGGAACTCACTATGTAGACCAGGTCGATTGTATTTTGAGCAAGGGAAATGGGAATGCTGGATGTGGAGAAAAACTTGCTAGGATACTAAGTTTACTGGGATTGTAGTCACTGCAAGTTTTCAGGACTGAAAATAAGACAGGAGTTTTCCATTGTCTGAGATGGACCTGCATTTGCCTTAGGTAAATGAGTCAATGACTATTACTCCCAACGAACTGGGCATCTTAACAGGTACAACAGATTCAAAGGCATAAAGCAATATGCACAAATCTAGTAGGAAGTTCTTGAGAGAACCGAGCTCCCAAACAGATGAACATAGCAGTACACCAATCAGCTCGAGCCCAAAGTAAGAATGGAGATGATCCTCCAGCTAAGGCCTTCCATTAAAGTAGAGTTCCCCATGGGGTAACTGAAAGCTTACTAGACATGGAAAGATTCAGACATTTCCAAAGACTGGACCAAGAAGAGTAATTTCAGTGCTTAGGAAACAGGCTAAAATTCCCTTGTGGAAGGTAATTAACTACGTGTTTTTTTTTTTGTTTTTGTTTTTTTTTTAATTATTATTGTGTACACGGGCACTCATGCCACAACACAAATGGAGGTCGGAGGACAACTTTATAAAGGCTGTTGACCATATTCAGGTAACCAGGCTTGCACTGAGCCATCTCGCCAGCCTCAATTTATGACGTTTTAAGGTGGACATTGAAGCTTAGCTCCTTTTCATTTTTCCACTGCAAATAAATGATGCAATTAAAAAAAGCACCATTCTGATTAAAAAGAAGATAGATAACCGGGGCATAGAGACTGAGAGAGTTTTGCAGGGAGTTCAAGGTCAGCGTGAGCTACACCGTGCGCTCCAAGTGGCACTTGTCCCAAAGCCTAAACCAAAGAAGGGCTGAACAGTAAGGCGGGCCTAGAGAAGTCTGAGAAAGAAAGCCACAGAGGCGGCCGCAAGTGCAACCCCTTCTCTGCCACCCTTAGAGCAGGGCGCAGCCAGGGACCCAACTCCCTGCCCCGCTTCCGTCCAGCCCCGCCCGCCCCGCTCCGGAAGTCCCACTCCTTGGCGGGCTGCGGCTATCTTCCTCTGGGAGAAGTGAGGCAGGACTTCCGGCGTTTGAAAAACTTCCGGCGGGAACCGGAAGACCCGGCAATCCCGAACTCAATCTTCCGACTCGCCGGGCAGGAAGGTGAGCTGAGCGTCCGCCCCAGCGACGGTGCTGCAGGCTTTCTGGGGCTGGCGTGCGGTCTCCGGTACTGTGGGGGCCACTTAAAGCTATGAGGACTCATTTGGTTAAGAAGAACTTTTTTTTTTTTTTTAAGTGAGTTGTTTCTTTACATGTTAAGTGCCAGCTGTCTGTCTTACAGTCCACACCCGGGAAATCCTTGCTGCCGCGTGGTACCTGGCGTGTCACCTGGCGCTGTCAGAACCTGGGGGCGGGCGTGAGGAAGCCGGGTAGACCTAGGTGGTCGGTACGCCGCCGGGACAAGAAGGGGAGGGTCAGCACTCTGCGCGGCCCTCTGACTCCCTTACAAATTCAAAAGTGCTCTGGACTTGTAGGAGGCGCGCCAGCTGTTGAGAGGATGAATGAGAACTCTAGGCAACTTTGCACGATCCTCCCACTTGACAGCATGTCGTTAATGTCTGTGGAATGAGAAACCGGGCTAGCCTTGGAGTTTGGGGCTTGAGTTCTAGAGTCTTTTGGAGCAAACCTCTGCCCTTTGAGTAAACCACCGAGCCTCAAGTTTCTCCTTCATAAAAGAATACAGCAAGGCTCACTGCCACGCTCCTGCCTTGTTTTTTTGTTTTTTTGTTTTTTTTTATAACTTAAGGACCTGTTCTAACAGTTGAAGCATTTCTTGTTGGTTCCCCCAGAGAAACATTTAAGATGCTCTTGAGTTGCTCCTCTCCTTACCCCTCAAAGTTTTAGTGTTGTTTTCCTATTTTAATATTTGTGTTTGTGTAGATCTTAATACCTTTTTCTTCCTATTTTCATTTGCTGTAGTTGATAGTGCCTCCTCATAACATCACAGCAACCTCCAAATTACTAATTTGGAATATACCATGTCCTCTCAGAGATAAATAAGCCCAGAGGAGGAAAAATTCCAAATCACCAAAGATTAGAAATGTTTTTATGTGTCATCATCTTTTCAAAACAGCAGTGAGTGTTAAGTGTGGCATTGCCTAAAAGTGACGGAAAATCCCTTTACATTCTTCTATAGAGATCATATTTGTACATATATTTATTAAATACATACTTCTAGATGAGCCGTTAAATCCTAGGCTTTTGGTATTGAGGTAAAGCAAATGTATTTCATTTCTTCATCGTATTTACTGAATTGAGGGGCTTCGGCTAGGAAACAAAAGAATTTTAGATTTATTTTATATACCTGTATATAGCTTGGAAAGAGGGAAAAGGGGATATCTTTAGCTGTAGAAGCCCATTTTAGGTTAAAGAAAATAGGGATGAGAAATAGCCAGATGTTTGAATAGGGGGTAGAGTACTCCAAATAGAGTGAACCTGATGTGGGCAAGACTCATGCTCCCGTTACAGGAGCTGAAAGAATGTGACTGGAAACAAGTAAAGGGATAAATGTGTTTAGAAATGGAAGCAGGGGTCAGTTCTGAAGAGCATCTTATTTTGATTCTGAGTGAAGATAGTATAGGAAATCATTGAATGTTTTTAAATTATTTTGGGAATGATCTCTTGGGTTGCTGTGTGGAGAACGAGTGGTAGGGACAAGGGTAGAAGAGCCTGAGGGCAGTTAAGAGGCTACTGCATTAGTCCAGACGAGAGATGGAGACTGCTATGGTTTGTGCCCCTGAAGGTTAATCCCCAAATCCATATATTTGGAGGTAGGAGCTTTGGAGGTATTGTGGGTTAGATGAGATCATAAGGGCAGGTCCCCATGATGACATTTGGATAAGATAAGCAAGAGAAACCTTAGCCAAAAGCTCCTCCAGCTTTGTGGTGCCTTCTGCCCTAGGATAACAGAAAGAAGGCCTGTTTCCCAACCTCTAGGATTGGGAGAAAGAAAAAAAAATTAAACTTTATTTTAAGAGAATTTCATGCATGAGTGTTCTATTGCATTATTTGAAATTTATTGTTTTTATAAATTGCCCAGTATAATCCTGTTATAGCAGCAGAAGACAGATTCAGACAGGGCTCAAGGACCCAATGGAGACGATAATGATTTAAGATATATTTTGGGGGCTGGAGAGATGACTCAGCAGTTAAGAACACTAACTGTTCTTGCAGAAGACCCGTGTTTGAATCCCAGCACCCACGTGGCAGCTAACAACTGCCCGTAACTCCAGTTCCAGGGGATCTGACAGCCTCTTCTGTCCTCTGCGGGCATTGCGTGACATGGGTGCACTTATCTACATGCAGGCAATACATACATACACATAAAATAAAAATAATAAATACAATTCTTAAAAAAGATATTTTTGGAGGAAGAATTGTTGTGATTTACTAATAGGCTGAGTATGGGAGATGGAGAAAAAAGACTGGCAATGTTTTGACTCAGCAGGTGGAACTTTGGAGGATGATGGATATGTACTCATTATTGTGATTGTGATGATGTATGTACATATGTCAAAACCTAGCAGATTTGAACCTTCTAAGTGTGGGCAGTGTTATACCTCAGTGAAGCTGTTGAGAAAGTTCCCATGATTTTGACTTAGCAAATGGATGGGTGGTAGTGTTGTTTACTAAGATTGGGAAGAGGGGCAGAAATAGGTTTTAGAAAAGGAATGGTTATCAAAAGAGTCCCATTGTGGATATGTCAAATTTAGGTAACTGTGAGACACCTAACTAGTTTCAGAGGCAGACAGGCAGGCAGGCAGGCAGGCAGTTTATTATGTAAATTCAATTTTTTTTGTGTGTTTATGTTTGTGTTCTTTTTTATGTGTGTGTGCATACTTATGTGTGCATGTGAACGTTGAGGCCAGAGGCTGAAGTTTGGTGTTTTCCTTACTCACTATCTACCTTATTGTTTGAGGCTGGAGTTCCCACTAAAGCTGGAGCTTGCTGATTTGGCTAGACTGGCTGGCCAGCAAACCTCAGGTATCCTACTCTCTCCACCTCCCCTGTACTGGGATCCTGAATCCTTATGCTTGAATGACTTTACTGCCTGAGCCATCTCTCTAGTCCCATGTAAATCTGAATTTTAAAGGCAAGGTTTGGGACAGAGGGATTAGAATTTTTAGTAAGTAGGTACAATAGGTACAGTCTTGCACTGATGAACATTGTTTGGAATGGATACCAGCAGAACATACACTGTAGAAGGTATTCCCTAAGATTACATTATCTAGTGATAGAGCCATCTTAGTTTATGTAAGTACACTATAATTTCAAATGACAGAATTACCTAAGGATACCTTTCTCTGAATGTATCCCTGTTATGTGGCACCCGTCCATTTGGGTGCTGGGACTCGAACCTGGGTCCTCTGTAAGAGCAGCCTGTGTTCTTAGCCATTGAGTCATCTCTCCAGTCCCATATTTTTTTTCAGTTTTTGTTTTTTGTTTTTGAGGCAGGGTCTTACATAACACAAGCTGATCTTGAACTTGTGGTCCTCTTGCCTTTTCCTCCCAAGTGTAAAGATAATAGGCATGGCGCAGTACTTGGCAGCACCTTTAGATTTTTATGCAGGAATCCCAATTCACCAGAGAAAAGCCTTCCCATTCTCTTTCTTGGAAGATAAGGATGTAACTGGCCTGGAACTCGCTATGTAGAGCAGGCTATCCTTGATCTCATAGAGATCTGCCTGCCTTTGCCTCCTGAGTGTTGTGCTGGGATCAAAGGTGAGCACTGCTATGCCTGGTTGGTGACTTTTTTGCTTGCTTGCTTGTTAATTTTTTTTGTTTTACAGACAGGATCTTAGGTATCCCAGGCTGCCTTTGAACTCATGTAGTGGAGAACAACCTTAAACTTCTGACTCTCCTGCCTCTACCTCCCAAGTGCTGCTCCACCATGACTGGTTTATAAGGTACTGGGGTTTGAACCCAGGGCTTCATGCATGCCAGGCAAACATTCTACCAACCGAGTCAACAACCCCAGCCCTACAGGTGGATTTTTTGGAGTCTTAGTGGAAAGGGACCCTGTATTTAGCATTCTAGTCTGTATGGTTACTATGCATACAGTTGTACCTGTCCTGTAGTGACTATTCTAAGAATAAACTTCTAGATCTTTTCCTGGGGCAGTTGCCTAATAACATGTGGGTCAGGGTACCTAGAAAGATCCTTTTGTCAGACCCATTACCCCCTCACCCTTGGTCCTAAAGATTATAGTAATCATTTCTGTGATCATTCCCCCCCGCCTCCCTCCCTAGAAAGATCCTTTTGTCAGACCCATTACCCCCTCACCCTTGGTCCTAAAGATTATAGTAATCATTTCTGTGATCATTTCCCCCTCCCTCCCTTCCTCCCTCCCTCCCTCCCAACAAATTAATTTGGTTCTCAGTGGTTCCAAATACTGGCTTGGGATTTTAATTTTTATGTAGTAAAGTCCTTTTGGCTTTGGACTTTATTCAATATTCTCAAAGAGTCACTTTGTTTTTTATGGTACTTTTGAAGTTTTTTTTTGAGTGTTTGAAATCATTTGTCATTGTGGAATTTACTTTTGCTTATGAGGTGGATGTAGGAATTAAATACTTGTTTTCTTTCAGAGGAGTAGCGTTGTCTCACTGCCATTTATAGAATAATGTTTTTGCCCTGACCTGGTTTAATTAGCATCCCGTCAAACACTAACCTCCTCTTATTTTGTTTTATTTTCGTTGTGGTAAAATACATAAGAAATCATGATTGTCCATTCTCTTGTGATCAGTATTTGGAACTATCTTTTTGCTTGTCTTTTGAGACAGGGTCTCACTCTGTAGCCCTGGCTAGCCTGGAACTCACGATGTAGACGAGGCTGACTTTGAACTGAGATCTGCCTGCCTCTGTTTCCAAGTACTGAAAGATGTGTGCTGCCACAGTGGGGTAGAACTATGATCTGCCTAACCATAAAAAGCTGGAGATTATCTTGTCTGTTTTCCTCTTGTCCCCTTGGTTCCCCCTTGAGTATATTCTACTCTATAGTTCTGCACATCCTGGACTGATTTGAGCTATCCATGCTGGGATACATTCCTTTTTCTGACATGCCCTTTAGTATTTCTATGACACATTACCACCTCTTATAAGTGGGTGTTAGAGCCAGAGGTATTATAATACACAGTTGGTTTAGGAACTTGTTTAAAAGGTTCCAGGCATGTCAGTCTAATGCGTTTTTTTTTTTCTTTCTTTCTTTCTTTTTTGGTTTGACAACATTCTTATGTAATAAATGTTATCAGCTTAAGTAAATTTATTCACTTCTTTTATTATGTTATGCCTCTTGTGATTTAATTTCTTTTAGCACTGAGCCTTTGAATATAATAAATATTTTTTGTGGCATAATGAGTAATCATTTTTATTATAAGAGGATGTTTATCTTGTTTTAGGAATAACCTGGCTGCTTATTCTGTTAGTTAGCATCATTTATATAACTCCTCTGTATACACACTTCTACCTTAATATTGTAAGATGTAGATGAGAAAAAGGTATTTCTTATATTTGAGAAAGAGTTTAGTAGAAGACTTTATACTTTGCTGACTGATAGTATCACCACTAAATACTTGCAGAATACTCAGATATATAATTTTAAAATAAACAGAATTGTCACCCTGTAGGAGCTTCTATTTTTCAAAAGATGGTCCCACACTTGTAAGGTATTTGAAACCTTTGAAGGCTATTAGGTACTCTTTTAACCACTAAGCAATCTCTCCAGGATTATTAGGTACTCTTTAATCAGCAGGCTACCTCCCAGGGAAACCAGTGTTGGTTGGGGCTTGTGAAAAAAACCTTACGGTTTTCCCCCTCTGTGGCATTTTCTAGCAGCAGAGCTATTGGAGTGTTAGTTAAACGAAGCATCATTTTGTAACCAAATGAAGTGATTAGACTATTCATGTCATGCTGACTTCATGTTCCATGTCTTCCAGATGTCATTATTGCCAAGAAGAGCAAAAATACAGGCCCAGCCCATGGACTCCAAAGATGAATTTTCTTACTTCTCTGAGTTGTAAGCATATTGGTGGAATATGTTGGTGGGGGAATGATGAATATTTTAAGGAGCAATGCATTTTGTCCCTTACAAGCTTAAGTCATTTGGGTAGAAGAAATCTGTGGATGAATTCATATAACAAGTATTGAATTCATGCTATGATCCAGACTCTATCTAATATAACTAATTAAATATATTGCATAATATTTACACCAGAACATAAGCTCTAGAGGGGCAAGGAATTGTTTTGCATTGCTATGGCATAGAGCTCTCATTGTCAATGCTGTTGACATTGTGTGCAGAGTCACTTCTTCTTGTGGGGGCTACCTTGTGCCCTGTAGGTGTTTAGTGGCATCTATGGCCTTTACCCAGTAGGTACCAGTAGCACCCTTTCCCTGATGTGACAATCAAAAATGTCTTTAGACAACCCCAAGATGTGCTAGGGGGTCAAATTCCCCTCAGGTGAGAATCTTTGCGATATATACCATGTAACATATGCCTATGACATTTGTTAAATGAGTGATTAATACTAGGTCATAATAGTGCTTAAAGAAACATTAAAGTAGGTCAAGGGATAGAGAGTATGCCATATGGTTGTGGTGGAGGTAGATTTTGGATTGAATAGCTATGGAGGATATGCCAAGAGATCACATGAGATTTATGAGTTGCTATGGTTTGGATAGGTGTCCCACAAGGTTACTACCAGGGTACTGGTATTTGGAGGTGGTGGGACCTTCATGAGTTGAGGCCTAGGCTATTGGAGGCTCTCAGGTCATTGGAGGCATGCTTTCCAAGGGAATTGTGGGACCCTGGCCTGTCTTATCTTTGTTCTTGCCTCAAGATGTGAATGCTTGGTTCAGTACATGTTCCTGCCTTTGCCACCTACTGTCTTCATTAGAAGCCCAAACCAAGCCCAAACCAGGGGCTACCTGATCTTGGACTTGAACTTCCAAGACTATGAGACAAATAAGCCGGTTTGTTAAGTTAGTTGCCTCGGGTGTTTCAGTGTACAAAGTTGACTAACACAGGCGTGTGTCTCTGTGCAGGGATTTTGAGGAATATTTTGTTTCACATAAAGAGAGAACAGCAAATACAGAGACCCTGAGGCAGGAACGAGTTTGTGTTTGAGGAACAGCAAGACAAATGGAACCAATCTGGAATTGTCACAGTAGAGAGTGATAGGAAATGAGGTTGGAATTGGTAGGATCTAAGAGTCTATGAAGAGGTGCTAGGATTTTATTTGAAGTGAGTTGGGAAGTCACTGGAGGGTTGTGGGCAGGGATCTGACCTGATCTGGTTTGTGCTTGCAAAACAGTATGGTTTTTTGGTAGTTAATAGAATACAGGGAGACAAGATAGGAGCATGAGGGTAAACCAAGGAGGTTATTATAGAAGCCTAGAGTTCTAGAAATTCTAGAAATGTGGATAGTGAGAAATAATTTAATTTGGGATGTATTCTTGAGGTAGAGTAGAAAGGACATGGTGGTGGTTACAGGTGTTTTGGGAAGACTAGAAGGATAGAAGAATGTTAGAAGCAGGAGTTCTGTTTGCACTTGGTAAATTGGTGATTGCTAGACATCCAGGTAGATTGACTATGCAAGGGGAAATGTCAAGGTGGAGCTATAGAGATTCCTTTAGTGACATATAGGACAAGGCGGATGAACTAGCAAGAAAGCCTGGAGAGAGGAGAGGAGAGGGCTGAGGATAAGACCTGGGAGCTTTCAACATTTAGAGGTTGGGGACAAGGGAAGGGTCAAGAAGACTAAGGAGAAGCTAAGCTAGTAGGGAAACCAAGGAGATGGGTTCCCCAGAGGCATGTGAAGGATGTGCTATAGGGGTGAGTGCCAGCTGCTGCGGAGAGCTCTCATGGGATGGGGAATGAGCATTGACTAGCTACTTTCTGTGTCACAACTGCTACTAGCACCTGTGTTTTCTTTATAATAATGAAGAACTCTCTACTTGTAGCAGCATACCTCTGTGAAGTGGGGTTAGTCGGCATTGCTGGCGATGAGACACTTAGGGTGGAAAGATGTCATCCTGGTCAGTTGATAGCAGGAGGGACCCTGGCTTCCTTTTTCTTTTCTTTTTCCTGCTCCTTTCTGTTCTCTTCTTTCTCCCCTTCCTCCCCCATTCCTCCTCTTCCTCCTCTTCCTCCTCTTCCTCCTCTTCCTCCTCCTCCTCTTCTTCCTTCTCCTCCTCTTTCTTTTGTAGGGATAGGGTAAAGGTAAACTGAGTCAGAACTCATGATCCCCCTGCCCTCAGTCTCCCTGGTGCCTAGAGAAATGTCTGGTGGAACACAGGTTCTCAAATCCTAGTTCCCTTCATCCAATGCTGTCGTGTTCAGTGATTTTGTTTGTTGTTGCGCTTAGTCTTGGATTTCTTATCCATCTCTGAAGAAAACTCACCTCGATGACATCAGGGTCAGCATACTTTTTGGGATATAATTTAGCTAAAATGTCATCCAGCCAGGTTTTTGCCTCTGGGCAGAATTCATACTACTCTAGAACTCAGACATCCTTATTGACTAGTCTTAGGTCATTCTTCCCACATATACTGACCTCTTTCTTTAGGGTAGAAATAGTGAGAACCAGGTGGGCTGGAGGGCTGTGTTCCCTCATCAGAGTTCACATGACTGCTTTTTCTCTGCTCTTGCTGTGAATTTGATTCTTGGTTAGAAATGTACTATAGCTATAGTCATTCTACTCAGGTCCATCTACTCAGGGCACAAATCTTTTTTATGAAAAGAAAAAAGTTTAATAAAAATAGTTGAAAGGTCTTGGTGATGGCTTTTTATGTAATTTAGGGGTGTTTTTAGAATGGTTTCTCAATACTTTCATTGATTTGAATAACCTAATACAATTTGAAATGGATTTAATTAGTACTTTGGTGCTAAAATTGAAAGACTCACATTGGCTACAGTGTGACATGACCCAGTACGTTACTTAAGGTAATAATTGATTTCCTGTGTCATGAAGGGATGTGTGTGCCTGCTTGTTAGGTGGGGGAAGGAGAGTAGAGAGTTCTGTGATTGCTGTGTTTGAGGGGGCATTTTTACATTGGTCTCTGATCACCTATTGTTTTAATTCTTAGAAATAACTGTTCACAGTCTGTGTTCACATGGCTCCATTTTGTATCAGACTCTTCCAACTTTATCGTTTAAGAAGCATATGTTACTTTTTACCTTTGGCATTTGCTTTAATTTTTCCTGGAAGTTTTCCTGTCAACTTACTTCTAGGTCATCTGCCTCTGAAGAAGATGACAAGGAAGATAGTATTTGGGAACCTCAAAAGAAAGTTCCCAGAAGCCGTAAACAGCCTGTACCCAAGGAATCAAAACCAAAGCGGGGCCCTCGGGTGAAGAAGAAAATGCTACAGACAAATGATGACTCAGAAGGCTTGGCTATTAAGGAGGATCTGGTAGGTAGTGTTGCTGGTGGTAGGGATGGTGGTGGTGGGGTTGTTCCTTTCTCCTTACACAGAGAAGGGCAAAGCATGTAAAAGACAGAAACTGCAGGTTAGTGGTGGCCCCTGTCACAAGTCTCAGTAATACATCAGTGGTAATTACTTACCATTGTTTCTTCAGCTACTTCCATTTTCCTCTCCAGGAAGGGTGGGGTAGGTGTGGTAGTGGTGGTTTGGAGGGTGATTTTAGCAAATATTTGAGTGCTGACTGTTAGCTAGGCAACATGCTCAACATTTCACTCTAGATCTTGCTGGGCTGGCAAGATGGCTCAGTGGGTAAAGGAGCTTGCTGCCAAGACTGACAACATGAGTTCAAATCCCAATATTGTTCTCTGACCTCACATATTCTATGGCATGAGCTTTCAATAATAAAAATAAATGTAATTTTTAGCTGGGTGTGGTAGTTCATGCCTTTAATCCCAGCACTCGGGAGGCATAGAGGCAGAGGCAGGTGGATCTCTGTGAGATTGAGGCCTGCCTGGTCTACATAGGGAGTTCTATGGCTACAAGAAGACTCTGTCTCAAAAAAGACCAAAACAAAAAGATCTTGCCTAATCCTAGTAACAGCCATGGGAGGTGGGTGATGTTATTATCCTGATTTTTTTTTTTTTTTCAAAATCCTGATTTTATAACTAAGAAAGCTGAGGCAAGGAATGTTAAGTGACTTGCTCCTTGAGCAAGATAGTCAATGATGGAACTGGGTTTCTAAGTCAGCATTTCAAACCCTGATATCCTTCTCAAGGGTGTTAAACACCAGCCATTCTTGCAAGAACGATGTATATGACGAGAGTGCTGGTTTAATAATTAATACTTAGAAATAACCATCTCAAGCACTTGAAATTCTTATGGCCAGCACTTTTTCTTCCTGGAGGTTGAAGTATGTAGGGAATTGGATAATTAGAATCTAGCTTGCTGAGGACGAACTGAGAATAGGAGAATCTGATAAGCTCGTTGGAGGGTTTGTTGAATGCTGGCTGTGGTCTTGGTGCTGTGGTTGTCTCTGTGACAACGTTTAAATTGCTCAGAGCTAAGGTAGTTTAACGACCCATCTCACAACAGGCTCTACTATTGGGATGAAAACACTTGGAATCTATTTGCTGATCTTTATTATGATTTAGAAGAATTCCCATCGTACTTGCTTTTTTTTTTTTGAGACAAGGTCTCCCTGTAGTAGCCCAAGCTGTCCTGGAACTCATTATCTAGACCAGGCTGGCCTTGAACTCACAGAGATCCGCCTGCCTCTACCTCCTGAGTGCTGGAATTAAAGGTGTGCACCACCACACCTGGCTATACTTGCTTTTTTTAAAATATTTTTTTTCTTGCTTCTCTGTGTTTGGTAACTCCCATTGTGATTGACACATTCTTTAGTTATGATAATTCATTTGATTAGGTTATTATCAACTGTAGACTCCGTTCACTTACCTTCCTGTCCCTGTTCAGATCCATTATGTTTTGAGTGAAAGGTGTCATGCCCAGAGAGCTAGTTAATGTACTTTGAAGTTTGCATGTTGGTAGGTAGGCACTGGAGTACAGATGCTCTTATTGTGATTCTAGTCCTTACTGGCAGTAGTGCTAGAAACAATACTTGATAGAAATTTGAATTATGACTGAAATTTTCCTTGTGAGTTGTGTTTATGCCATTGGTGTCACTTGGGTGATGAAATAGGCTAACCTGTGAAACCGTAAGCTCCTTAAGGGTAGGCTCTTTGTCTTATTTGTCTTTCTATCCCAGTGAGAAGGTGAGTGTCAGGTGAGGTGGCATTGGTAGGGGGCCAATGTTGGTGTAGAGTGCTCCCTGGATACCTGTGTAGACTGTTGGGCTAAGTTTCTGTTACAGAAAATGGATGCTAGCTATGATGGTGTCTTCTTGCAATCCTAGCACTTCGGAGGCTAAGGCAGGAGAATTGCCATGAATTCCAAGCCAGCTGGGCTACAAAGTGAGTTCCAGGCCTCCTGGGCTACAGTGTGAGACCCACTGAAAGTCTCAAAAATCAAAGTAAAGCAAAAGGAAAATGCCTGTCCTTGCCCTGCTGTGGTTCTGTTTTCTCTCCCCTATCCTTCTGTCTAAGCAGGTGGTAGGTGTAGCCTGTTGAGTTTTACAAGCATGTGCATGTTTTTAGTCTTCCTGTAAATGGTTGACTTCAATTATATTTTCCCTCCCTCCCTCCCTCTGATCAAGTCAAGGTCTCAAGTATCCCAGGCTGGCCTTGAACTTGCTGTATAGCGGAAGATGACCTTGAACTTCTGATCCTCCTGACTCTATTTCCCAAGTGCTAGGATTACAGGTATGGGCCACCATGTTTAGGTTTTATGTGGAGCTAGGGATTGAACCCAGGGCTTTAAGCATGGTAGTCATGCATGCTAGGCAAACACACTACTACTGAGCTATATCTCTAGCCTATGGTTGTAACTTTTAATTTCTTTTTTTTTTTTAATATTTTTTTAAAATTATTTTTACTTTATGTATATATGTGTGTTGCCTGCATGTAGGTAAGTGCACCCATGTTGTGCAATGCCCGCAGAAGACAGACGATCCTCTGGAACTGGAATTATGGACACTTGCTAGCTGCCATGTGGATGCTGGGATTTGAACCTGGGTCTTCTGCAAGAACAACCAGTGTTCTTAACTGCTGAGCCATCTCTCCAGCCCATAACTTTTAATTTCTTAAAAAATTAATTATAGGCTGGACGTGATAGTGCACGCCTGTAATCCTAGCACCTGGGAGGCAGAGGCAGGTAGATCTCTGTGAGTTCAAGGCCAGCCTGGTCTACATAGAGAGTTTCAGGCCAGTTGGGGCTACAGGGAGACCCTGTCTCAAAAAGACCCAAAATTAATTAATTTTACGTGCATGAGTGTTATGCTTGCATGCATGTAAGTGCATCTGTGTGTTGTGCATTACTGGCTGAGGACAGATGAGGGTGTCAGATCCCTTGGAACTGGAGTTATAGATGGTTGTTAGCTACCATGTGGGTGCTGGAAACCAAACTATGTCCTTTGCAAGAGTAGCCAGTGCTCTTATCTACTGAGCCCTCTCCCCAGCCCCTTGTTATAACTTTTAGTCCTGTTTTTCTTGCACATATAGGACTATCATTTATTCATTCTTTAAAATTAAACTTTATTTCTAAATAATTCACATGCAATTTTAAGAAATAATATGAAGGGGACCACGTGGTGGTGGTACAGGCCTTTAATCCCAGCACTCAGGAGGCATAGCCAGGTGGATCTCTATGAGTTCAAGGCCAGCCTGCTCTCAATAGTGAGTTCCAGGCTTGCTGGGGCTACAGGGAGACCCTGTCTCAAAAAAAGAAAAAAAAAAAAAAAAGAAATAATAGGAAGGGATTCTATGTACTTTTTTAGTTTCCTTCAATGTTAAAATTTTAGTATCTTACATAAAATATAATAAATATACAGAAAATATAATAATGAGGATATTAACATTGGTACAATCCATTGATTGTATTTGATGTTCTCTAGTTTTACAGGTGTTTCTGTGTGGGTGTATGTATTTACATATTTAGCTATGTGCGGTTTTATTACAGATGTAAGTTTGTGTAACCATCACAGGGATCCCTAGTATTGCCCTTTCATAGCCACATCCACCTCTCTCTCACTCCCCGACACTCATCTCTGATTCCTAGTGACCTCTGCTCTGTTCGGGAATGTTGCATAAATGTAATCATATAATATGTAGCTTTGAGATGGGCTTTTTTCCCAATTCGACATAGTTCTCTTGAGAGGGTAGTTAGTTATTGTATGTATAAATAATTTGTTCCTGTTTATTTCTGGGTAATATACCAGGACAATTTGTTTCTAATCTGCTAATTTTCATGCTTTTTCTTTGATAGAATAGCCCTGTGACTATTGCTAATGCTGATATGGAAGAGAAAAATTGTAAATTGAATATGGCACAGACTCTGAAGCCAGTAGCAACAAAAAGGAAAAATTCAGCTCCAAGAGCCAAAAAAAAGCTGAAGGTTGATGAGGAAAGCAGTGCAGCCAGCACCTTAGAGGATGGGCGTAGCAGCGCGGAGACACCCTCAACTAGCACCACATGGGAAGGTGTGTGCAAGAAGGAAGAAAGTGAAGATGACTTCACATTTGATCAGTCCCCTTTAAAGAGGATGAAGACGGAAACCTGTCCTCAGGGGCAGCCTGTCAAGTTTCCAGTGAGTGCCCACAGCATTAAAGAGGAGGTGGAGATGAACTGGGACATCGTGCAGGTGTGTGTACCCTTCTCAGCCATTTAGTTGATTCGGTTCCTTTCTTGACTGGCACCCGGGCTGTGCTCATTAAAGGAAGGACTGGGAGTTTTGAATTCTCAAAACTGAGTTCTCTGAAAAGTTTCGTCAGTGATTCTAGACTCAGACTTTGGCCAGTCGTTCTTTTCTTGGCTGTACAGTTCTTTGTTCCTGCTTATCATTAGCAGCCCTTCGGCCAAGACCTCCATCAGGAAAGGTCTTTGCTCTGGTGCATTATTGCATGTTTGTGACATAAACAGATTACACCAACAGATGGCTCCCTTAAAGGTTCATTTTTCAATATAATTTGGACTGTATTTTTTAAAATTTATTTTATTTATTATTTTATGTATATGAGTATATTGCTTGCATGCATGTTAAGTGCATCCCTGTTGTGCAATGCTCACGGATCCCCCTGGAACTGGAGTTACAGACAGTTGTTGGCTGACATTTGGGTGCTAGGAACCAAACCCCGGTCCTCTGCAAGAGCAGTCAGTACTCTTAACAGCTGAGCCATCTCTAGCCCTGGACTGTATTTCTTACAGGGTTTCACTCTGTAACAAGCACTATGTATCCCTGGCCTTGAACTTGAACCCACAGGTGATCTTCCAGCCTCAGCCTCCTAAGTGCTAGGATTATAGTTGTGAGCTACCAGGCCCCATAGCTTTTTATTTTCTATTATTTGAGCTCACTAATGGGTTCAGTAATGTTAGTAAGATAGCACTAAATAAAGCCTTTTGGAATATATGTTCAAGAGAAAGGTAAGATTACTAGATGAGAATGAGCAGGGAAAACCTACTAAGAGATGGATACCTGGCTTCCAGAGGGTGAGTGGCAGAGAAAAAGTAGGAAGGAAGGCTTCACTTATAAGCCAGAACATCAGTGTCCATTGCTGTGTGCTTTGAACATCAACCAGAATCAAGTTAGCTCACTTTAAGGCCTTAAAATTTTTTCGTGGCCTTGGAGAATGTAGATACACTAGTTTTTCCTTTATATTCCAACCAGTTTTCCCTCCTAATTAGAAGTAATTTTTAGCAGATGAAAGCCTATTCTTAAGGAATTTGGCAGTCTTCGTCTATTGGAAAGTGGTTTTTAAATCTGCCACCTTGGCTGAGCAAACTAGTGGCAGCTTTGTTAAAGCCAAGCATCTTCCTAGTAGTCTAGAGAGATTGCCTGGAAAACCAGATGGGAGTTTGCATCCTTGGGTTCTTTTTATTTAACTAATAAACTTTCCCTTACCTTTAACTTTCCAATCAATTCTTACTGTCTATGTGAATTTCTTTTTCTATACTTTTTAAGTCTCACCTCCTCACCGTAAAAAGGAAAAACTTTGTGAGACAGAAAATAATTTTGTCTTAAAATTGTGTTACCCCTTCCAAATGTAGTTGAGAACAGTGCCAGGTGTTGATAGAACACGGAAGTCAGAGGGAGAGTTGGTAATACAGTTCAGAGAATCTGATGTGTGTGTAAGGGGGTAGAGTGTGAATATCTACATAAGGGTCAGACTGAGTGAAGTGCCTTTGATAGATGTATTTTCTGCTGTAAAATATGTCCAAATTTTTGGGGAAACTCTTGAGTAGTACCTTGTTAGTAAAGAGTGGTTAATATGAATAAATTGTATAGAGATTATTAACTGAACAGTTTGGAAATGTCATTTAGTACCCTCCTTCAAGTGCTATTACCCATGGCCATTGCCCACCACCATGCCCTAGATCATCTGTTCTTCTGTTCAGGTGTGCTTCCTAATAGAAAACCCCAACTGCTTTTTCAGGTGTCTCACCATCTTGTTTGAGGAGGGAAAGCTACATAGCCAACACTTCATTTGCTTTTAGACTTTGCCTGTGAGCATGCCTTGTATCTATTTCCTGATCAGGCATGGGGAACTGCTCTCTTGAGCATAAGCAACTTACCCCTTTTCATCTGTCTCCCAAACTACAAATGTATCATTGTCACTGGAAATTCATTTTCTTCAAAGCCCTTTATGTCACTATGCAGACATGTTATAAACACCATGAGCTTTATAAGAATAGAAAGAGATGAGAAAATTAAACCATGCCGAAATTGTGCTTGATGACCTATAGTTTCTTTATTTTGAAGGTGGTAGGCCTAGGCAGGTACAGCAGCTATGTTTATTGTAATAACATTGACTGGATTAGGGAAAAAAAGCAAACAAGCCCATTTCATTAGCTGTTTTTCCCTTCCTTTTAAAAGGGTGAGGGAGCACGTGTGGGAAGCAGACCTTGCCTGCCATGGCAGAAGTAGGGAACAATGACATGAAAAGGAGAGACAGTGTGTCAGAGCTGATCACCTCCCTGTAGTTCTGTATTTATTACAAAAATGGAATAACTCAGTAAGTGTAGCCTGTTTGTTCCAGGAGAGATTAAAGAGATTATAATAGTATTTTTAATTAATATAATTTAGTTAGTAGTATTTGTTACAGGTTAAAAAAAAAACCCAACAGAATTTGTGTGTAGCCCAAAATGTTCAAAAGTGTAACTGTCAGCAGCTTCCGTCCAGGCTGGAAACAAGAAAATCCCCCTTCATACCCCTTTCTAGGTCCTTCTTTTCTCTATTTTGGTTTTCTTCCCACTGTCTTTATGGGAGCAGTTAGTGTGGTACTATAAGCCCTGTAATAAATTGTCTAGATAAGGTAAGGGAACAGCAAGAATCAACAGCTTTATAAGAAGGGAGATACCAAATTGCTGCTTTGGGAGTGATTCTGCATAGAAAATTCCCTCATTTTTACTCATTAGAGAGCCATTGAATTTGATGTTAATGCCTCTAAAAATGCAGCTATTTCTGGGTGATTCAAGCTGGATTTGCTGATGTTCTCTGTTAATTGATGGAATGGAAGTTTTCACTTAGAGGAGATCCTGGGACATTTTGGGATTAAGACCTTTCTCTGGATAGCTCTTTCTGATAGCTAGAGGGCGGTGTGGAGGCATTCTGTCTATCATGGTGCTCAGAGAGTTAAGGTCTTTGTATTTTTGTCTGAGAACTCATCTTGCTTTACATACAAGTTGAATTTTTGAAGAGGTAATATGACTGGTGGGACTTGGGGCAATTTATTTCATGGGCCATAGGTTTTACGTGCTTGAAAGTGGAAATAATAGTAGTACCTATTTCATAGCGTTTAAGTCAGTGCCGAATATGCATTTAGAACACTATAAACCTTACACAAGTATTAGCATAACACAAAGGTCACAAAATACCTCTCTAAGTCCTAGAGGTTAAAAAATATTAATTAGGGTGTTTCTCCCTTGGAGCCCCTCCCACCCTTGGGTTTTGTTGTTTTTTTTTTTTCACTTTTCCTTATGGCATCTACATTCTACTTAAAAATCTACTTAAAAGAAATAAATTAATGAATGTGAAGTTGTGAATAGTTTAAAAGTAGAGACCACAGTAGTTCCTTGCTCAGCCCTTCCACATCCCTCTGTTTTGTTTTGTTCTTTGCCTTGTTTTTCTAAGACACAAATTGTTAGGCCTTACCTCAGAGTTTCCCATTCAGGCTATTTTAGGTGGTATCCAATAATTTGCATTTCTAACAAGATCTTTGATGATGTTTATGCTGTTGGTTTGGGGCCACACACTGTGGTCCACAGAGGTCTTGGGTTCTAAAAATGTAACAGCTCCAAGTTGACTCAGCAGCTGTAACTGGAGTAATGAGAAGTCTTTTGTTGAATGGCTCCCTTCCCAGGATAGAATAAAATATACTCTCCATAGAATTACTGTTTAGCCCCACCCAGCTTTCCATTTCTCAGCTGATCCTAATACCATACATACATTCCTATATTACTGACCTTTCACCAATTTAGAGAATGGGCAGTAGCTTTTCAACCCTGACTTCTGGAATTCTGCCCCTCAGTTAGCTTTATTCCCCTCTTGCTTCTCCATCACTGTACTCACATGCTCTTAAGACAATGTACCACACTGTATACTAACTACTTGTCCGTCTGATGTTAGCTTACTAACTCCTTGGAAGGAGGGAATTCGTTTTTTTGTGTGTGAGCTTTTGTTTTTATGTTTATTTTTTGTGGTGCTGAGAATTAAACCCAGATTTCACATATAATACACAAGTGCTTTTACCATTGAGCTATTCCATAGTCCTGGGACCTGGTTTTTATAACTTGATTACCACTGGCTTATCATGGCTATTGGCATGCAGTATGAGCTAATATAAACATAGAAGAAATTTATTGATTTGGGGGTCTCAAAGTATTGCCTCTTTGGCTTTTTTTTTTTTTTCGGTCTTTTTGAGATAAGATCTTCCTGTAACCCCACCTGGCCTGGAATTCACTATGTAGACCAGGCTGGTTTCTGTTTCAGAGATCTGCTTGCCTTTGCCTCCTGAGTGCTGCAATTAAAGGTGTGTGCCACCACACCAGGCCAAATTATTGCTTTTTATATGCGGTTTTGTTCTTAATTTCAAGTAGCAAACACTCCCTTAATGTTGGGGAACCCTGCTGTTTTGGGTTGTAGTCTCTCCATGTCCGGATAGCTGCAAGCCGGCTCGGCGCAAATGGAAGGACTCCCTTTCTCAGCGGGGCGCCTTCCTACTCTCTTCCTGACTCACCTTTTGAAGTGCCCCACAGATACATGTCCTCTGGCACAAAAACTGCCAGGTTTTTCCTGTGTGATAATCAGGCACTGTCTGACAGCCTGACAAAAGCCCACCACCACATGCAAATGGGGCATCCTACAAAGCATCTATCAACTAAGGCTTTTGCTACTGCCTCCACACTATAAATATCCTGGTTTCCCCCTAATAAATCGGAGCGCCAGGCAGCTGTGCCTCCAAGCCACCCCACTCGTGGGGCCTGGCAAATCTCTCTTTCTTTCATCTCCCATCAGGAGACTAAAAGGCAGCTGTGCCTCCAAGCCACCCCACTTTTGGGGCCTGGCAGTCTCTTCTATTTTCCTCCTTGTATTTTTGGTCTAAAATCTTCATGTGAGAACGTTAAAGACAGAGAAGCAACTGAAGC